GCACAGACTTCCTAGTGAGCATTCAGGCCACAGACACAGAATCAGGCCCACCTACCCAATTTCCAAGGTCTCTCCCCGAATCAGACGTAACTTCCGGAAGAAGGAAAGTGACACAAGAGCATAGGATCGGCGGATTTTCAGATATCCTGAAATTTCTTCAATGAGTCCAAGGTTGGCCTCTAGCTCAGCTGCCAGGTTGTCTAAGGGAAGGGAGAATATCCAGTGAGTTCCTACAGAAATATTTTAATCTTCCCATAATGTCCCATGAGGAGGAGTTAACCTACAGGTTGGAAATGACTTTGACATACCCTGCTCAAAATGCATCATAGAGAGGACACAATCCAATGTCCCTACCACAGGGTCTGCAAGTCCCTAAATAAGTGACCACTGCTTTTTTCTCATCTTTTCCTTGGTCGTCCTACTTCAGACACATGGGCCTCCTCATAGTCCCTTAAACAGACCAGACATACTAACTACCTCAGGACATTTGCACTGGCTGCCTCCTTTGCCCAGAATATTATTCTTCCATCTATCTGCTTGGTTTGCTCCATGACCAATTCAGAGCATTTCAAATCGGAAACTCTTCTAAAATAGCAACTCCCTTTATTCTCTATTTCATAGATTGGCACACTACAGCCCATTGGCCAAATCCAGCCGGCTTTGTAAATAAAGTTTTATCAGCACAGAGCCACACCCATTAGTTCACACTTTCTCTAGGGCTGCTTTCACTCTACACTGGCAGAGCTGAGTAGTTCTGGCAAAGACCCTCTGTCTGCCCAGCTGAGGAGATTTATTACACGGCCCTTTATAGGAAAAGTTTGCCGACCCTTGCTCCCTGCGTTACTCTGCTTTGCTTCCCTTCACAGCGTGGACCACCGCCTAAGTTTACATGATACGTTGATTTGTTTATTTGTAAGATCCATCATGCATGGACTTTGCCTTGTTCCCTGTGAGTATTCAAATAAATGTTTGCTGAATAAATAAACAAAGGCTGCTTTTCGCCTGGAATGGTATTTCTGGAAACACGGTCCCAGACCTGCAATGGGGCATGTTGCCTGCTTGTTAAAAATGTAAATTCCTGACTCCCAACTTGGAAAGTCAGAATCTCGCTGGAGCGGGGCCAGGACCGAGCTGTGAATTTGGGGTTTGGCAGCAAACTTGAGTGACTCCACTGATGGGCGTTGGGGCTGTTTTCCTTCTGCACTCACAGGGGAGGTGGATCCCAGCAGACCGCCCCCTCCTCCCCCCAGCACTCACTGCCCCCTCGAATGTTGATGATCAGGCTCCCGTTGATGACCGTGCAGCCTCGGAGCTCCTGGGCAGATGTCACCGAGTCAATGGTCTTCTCACCTTCCAGGAGGTGGCAGACCTTGGGACAGGGGCCCAGGCATGGAGTACACATCAAGCTGAGGCAAGAGCAGAGAGAGAGGGGTCAGGACACACAGGACACCACACACACAGCAGACAGCACGCTGGACAGGGTCCCTCGTGATGAGACTTCCCCCGAGACC